TTTGCAACTATCTACACGGATTAATAATTAGCATACAAGAGTGCTAAACTTTGCCGATTTAACTTAATTTCCATTTCATGAATATCAAAGTTACCTACGCATTTCTATACAATTTGATAAACCCAGTACAATCGAAAAACATCCTTGGGACACTTTTGTACGGATAACTGTAAATGGAGTACTAATGTTTAGTACAAATATAAGTTTTCAATTTAAGATCTTCCGGATTCTATTAACAATGTATTCTATTTATTGGCAATCGGGTATAAAACTCAATGGCTAAATTTATAGAAAGAATGATGCCAACTTTTCGATTAAAAAACAGAAAATATGAAATGCCTATTTTTTTGGTGTATGCGTATGAGCTATATACGTAACTAGCGGCCCTGGCGAACTTCGTAGCCAATATCTGTCAATATCCCGTTCCCGGGTGGGACAAAAGCAGGTTTCGGCGGCTGTGCCACCCCACCTCGTCCAAGTATTCCGCTCCTGGGTGGGACATATGCCGCCTCACTTCATGCAGTTTTATTAAATCGAAACCTTTGGGGGCATAGGTCCACCGTTCCCCAAAGTTTCATGACAATTGGAGTTACTGAAAAGTCCTTAGAATGGTTCAATAGTGACATAAGTATAGGTCACAATTTGTATCAGTGATGTACCTGGATCCTGTTTTACAATTAATGGAGTTCCTCAGAGAAGTGTATTGGTCCAATTTTATTTTCTATATACGGGGTGGTGACTTGACGAACGCACCATAAGAATTTCAATAGTAATTTTTTAATTTCCGATTATTGGCTCCCCTAATTATTTTAGAGATAAAGTCTATTTAGGTTTTTGTAGAGAAAAAATTACGAATCCGGTACATACTATTGTTTCCTGTTTTATAAATTTAAAAATTAAAAACTGTGCGTTTATAAAGTCGGTAATGGCATGGAATTATGAAATCAAATAAAAGCGCCTGCATTTGCCATTAGTTAGCTTTGTTTGATTGGGAAGCCAATAATCAGAAATGAAAAAATTACTATTGAAATTCCTATGGTGCGTTGTTCAAGTCACCACCCGTATTACAAGTGACTTGGTAGATGAGATAAACTAGACAGCAATACCATATGTTAATGTACGCAGGCGACTAACAGCTATATCATCATCATTTGGAATTAGCGATGCAGTAACATCAATACAAACCTTTGTATAATGTTTTATGTTAATCAATAATGGTGTTTCAGAAACGGCCCCGGCTAGGTCAGTAGTAGCAAAGTATTTTTTAGGTAAATATTGATAACGATAACTGTATTATTAAATGGGCAAATAAAGTAAAAAATTAAGCGGAACGGTTTGATAATGCAGTTACTTTTGAAAGTCCTACAGACTACAGTTTAGCTTTAATGAAACTTAAATACATGCATTATTTAAGATCTGTACTAACCACAAGAAGTACTTAAGCTAAACCAATACCTTTGATTATAGTCTATATTCAAAGACCAATACAATCAATAGTGTATCCACACATCGAATACTGTAGCGATTTATATTGTAGGTACTACTATACATTGACACAGAAGTGGAAAAACAAACACAAAAACTGGAAAATTCATGTATTCGTTTCGTTCAAAAAAGAGCTGGACAGAATACTTTCAAAAAGTATTTGAATACTAAATACTTTTACGTCCAGCACAAGGGAATACTAGATACCGATACATTGAACAGTATTCAAATACTTTAGAATGTATTCGAATACTTTCAAAAGTATACGAATACTTTCACAGGTATTCGAGTACTTTCAAAAGTATTCTAATACTATCAAAGGTATTAGAATACTATAAAAAGTACCTATTCGAATACTTTGAAAAGTATTCGGATACAGTAAAAACAAAAAGTATCCAACTACTTGTCACTCAAATACATTAAAAATTTAAAATAGTATACTAGATACTTAATACTACTTAAAAAATCAAGTTATATTTACTTTGTATGGGGTTAGCTTTTTTTATATTTCTATTGTTATATACAAATTTAAGGGGAGTAAAAGAGTATTATTATTATTATATTATTATATAGGAGGTACCTACCAGGACCTTTCTTATACCAGTTATATCCTTAAGAATAAGTGTACCAGTTTTCAAAGCGTCGTGCACATGATACGTACGCCTTTCTGAAATTAATCCTAGCGATTTTGAAACAGATCCATTCCTGACCATCCGTTTGTCCGTGTGCATGATAACTTGTTTAGAAACGTGTGATCGCTTTGAAAATTGGTACACATGGTCTTCAGGATACAAGAAAGGTCCCTATTGTTTTTAAGTTACGTAGACTATCGAGTTCGGTATTCAGATGTATATCTTTTTATATTTGATTTTGTGACAATGGAAACTTTCCCTAAACATTTCTAAATTGTTCTCAAATATTTGAATAACTTAAAAGTACTGCCTTTTTTTGAGGCCGGAAAAAAAAATTATCTGAGATCGAGATCGAGAAATTTTGGTGTAGTCGATTTTTGGTAAAAAAGGAAGGTTATACACTGCCTTTTTTTGAGGCCCGCAAAAAAATTGTCTCAAATCGACCCGGAAAAAAATGTTCTTATAGAATGTGGCTTGTAGAATCCATAATTTCAAACAGTTCCTAGATTGGGCTACTAGTTCAAAATTTACAGCCCTTTGAATTTTCTTTCGAAATTGGTTTCTAGTCTATAACTTTTGATTGAAAAATCTAATCGAAAAAGTACGAATTGTTTTGGATTCTACGCACCAAAATTTTGGAGTAGTCGATTCATACCTTGCAAAGTATTCGAATACTTTACGAAGTATCCAAATACTTTGCGAAATATTCGAATACTAAATATTTGTGAAAGTATTTGAGTTACAAAACAAATACTGCTTGCTTCCATAAAAGTATTTAATTACAAAGTCTTTGAATACTTTAAAGGATTTGAATACTAAAAAGTATTTACAAAATCGAATACTGCCCAGCTCTGGTTCAAAACTCATATTACGCCATACTTAGATCGGTATAAATTATTTAATGTAGAGCAAATATTTGCTGTGGTTATAAATAGCCTACCTGCCCATGCGCGATTTTGCCCAAAAGCTCTTCCTTATAGGTCTAAGAATATGTGTATCAAATTTAGTTCCAATCGGGTTAGCCGTTTAGCAAAAAATGAGAGTACAGACAGACCGACAGACAGACATCATCGAGATTTTGTTGGATTCGGATTCCTGGTGCCCCAAAACCTGTGTTTCCGTCAAAAAGTGGGATCATTTTTTATTTCAATGAAATACCTCCCTTGTAAACGTGCAGGTGGTAAAATGCAGTAGTCTATGCTATATTTTCGTAAAAACTAATCAACATATTAACACAAACGAAAATTATCAAAAAACAACCATTTATGACTATGGTTATATATCAGACTGCCCAAATTACGAAATCGGCTATCATTTGCAAAAGAATGCAAATTTTGTTTATGGCGACTGTAGTTCTTTCCTTAAGTTGGCCTTATATCACGCCTACGCACTTTGACTCTTAGATATATTAATCTTTTACGAAATAATGTCAATCATATAATACCAATTAAGATCATTAGGAAGGTGGTAGCAGTGGGCACATGATCTCTGTCATAGGAAGAGATCAAAGTAGGAATAATGAAGTGCGATTCTAAGGGGATCCCAAGAAATGAGAGGGCGGAAGGAAATATCTTGGTCATCTGCAAAGAAACAGGTGCCAGCTAATGCCTTTATGTCCATATAACAGAGAAGGTATCACTATGGAATGGTAACAATAATGAAATAATGGAACTAAGCCAAGGATAATAATAATTCTAAATTATCTATATTAAATGTGATATTAACCTCTATGTTTTGGGCCAGTTTGTGGACTGGAGTTACTGATGGAACTAGTTGCCCAAAAGGCATTACAGATCGTATTCAACAACAAGATATATGGTATAAGAAAAAAGGTTTAATATTCGCTGTAATCGATGGTTAATAAAATTAGCAAAGAAGAATAATAAAAGTTGACTTCCAAACCAATTTAAATCATAATCATATAGCGTAACTGAATATGGCGGAGAATGGAAGTACATACAAAGAAAAACAAAGAAATCGCACAAATACTAGACAAACTTTTTTTAGAGTTAGTTAGGTTAATGTAATAGTTATTAACCTTTAATAAGCTATATGGTTACGTATAATTGAATCATTTTTCTATATTATTTATCGAGGATATGGTAATTTTGAAAACTTGTAGGCATACCGATTTCAGCACAACCATAAGGCACGACAGCTTTCGCCTTCATCATTACTTACTGCATTTTTATTTATACTATTTATAAGTACTTAGAGAAAATCGGCTGTACTGTAGGTCAAGTTTCGGTCAATAATAATTAATTAACTGTTTAATTTTGCGTGCAAATTCTACACAGTGAACGTCTTATATTCTTGTGCAATTAACATCTCAATTTAAAATTCTCAAAAGAGATATTTGTGTCTTGCACGACATTGGCACACAGCCACAATTCTCAACATACTGAAACTGAACGGCGAAGCGTCGAAGAAAATCGGATTGTGTTATCTTTTTTACCATTCGTGATTATGGCGCGTCCCCTCGGTCAGCAATAAATTACGGAATAACTTGAAGTTGATTTCTACCGCAAGCTACTAGCTCTTCCAGCAAAATTTATCATCTAAAAAGAAGAGGCCGTCGGCTAACATTTTTAATTTATCATTCTAAATCGGGCGAAAATTGAATTTCACCTTTATTTTATTTTAAACCTTTTAAGCTTCATACTAACTAAATAGACTTATAAAGTGGAGGAAAGCGAATCCTTGGGGACTTTAATATCGAAGGTGGCGATCTCAATTCTATTAGATCTCTAGATGGACATACAGTTATTTTATGGCCTGTCATATTGCCAACATTGCCGTTAGGGTTCTTCCGAGCGTACTCAATTTTATCTATACTGTAATAAAAGGAATGTAAAAATAAAACCTCGTTATAAAAAATGGCATTGTATTTTTTTGTTTGACACTATATACACGTTTAAATATATTTCTAAAATACATCGTACATTTTCAACGTAAAAACTCCGTCTATTCGCAACTTATATAATAATATAGTCTGTACAAATAGTCTATATATATTTCTAAAAAAACTACTTTTGATTTATCTTGTATAAAACTCTACATTTACATTTAGTACGTGTGGTTTTTCGTTTAATAAATGCCGCATCTTCATTAATAATTCTACTTTTATATAATACATCAATAGTTACAGTAGCATATTAAGTGCCTTATATAACAAGTGTTCCTGTTTCCATTGAAACCACGAATTGCACGATTTCTAAAGGTCCCGTGGTCCCCTATTCAAAAATTAAACAATTTCACATAACTTCTCTGTAGGCCATTACAGAAGAGCGACTCGTCCAAAATTAACTGTCGTCTCCATCGCCAACGGCGACCATGGGAAAATAATAATAATGATGCAGTGGTCAAAGTGAGTTGTGTGCTAAGATGAAAGTGAACAGTCTAGAACATCTTCTCTCCTTAAATATTTTTAGCAACATCACATTCGAATTGCTCTTCTGGCGTGGATCACAGAGTTACAAATATAACAAACATCATCATGTTAAACAACATCCTGCATCAACTCGTACCTCTTTTACTTTTATGCATATATACAAATAACAAAACACTTACAAGCTAATCACAAAATAATTATTTATAACCAGTTGGGACCTAAGCTATTATCTAAAATAGAAGCTGCATCGTATCTCTCCATATCCCTAAAAATTTTAACCAGTTCAGTCAACGCGTTACTCTGCCTATTCCTCGCCTCCCATAGATCTAATATACATTCAGTAGGCGAAGGCTTAGTTGCAAAATAATTAATATACCTATCAACAGATAAAGCGTGCGCCAGCATGCGCCAGTCGTTGCCCCTTGCATTTGGGGGATCTAAGCACTGACATATGTGCTTCTTCACCTGCCGGTTTAGCCTAAATGAGAAGTCATCGCAGGTTGAAACGCCTCTGTCGGTCAGAATCAAGTTTTTCGCTAGCTTCGACGAAACCGCATCGTCTTGCGTCGCTAATTTAAAACTTTTGGCACTTTTAGGGGTATTCGTGTGATCGTCATGCTTGGACGACTTATTCGATTCGACGGTCGAACGAGGCGAGTCAGTCGGTATTACGATTTTTGGCACAAATGGAGAACTGGTCCTATGCGTGAAATTGTTGTCGTCCTTACAGGACACACGAAAGGTTTGGTGGTTATTAAAGCCCTTTTGGTTAACAATGATGGTGAAGCTCAAGTTGGGGTTCATTTCGTAGGCTTCTAGAGTGAAGGAACAGTGCAAGCTGTTACTGTTGGCTTGCCACAAATGGCGGAAGGGAATTTCTTGGTAGTCCGAGCTCGGTTTCGCCTTCCAACCCTCGCTTATGCCCTCCACAGTTAAACAGAGATTATTTCCGCCGTCCTGCAGGTGAATAACGCGCGGTTCGTCCATGAGAAAACCACCCAATCTCTTTTCTTGCCCGAAAACGGTCTCCATCGAGCTATCCGTGTCTTCAAGAACGTACACTCTCACACTATAATCGGCTGAGGATTGAAAACATAACTTAGGGGCGAATACTGCGAGCTTCAGTCGCTTAACCGCAAATCCGTTGACGGAATGGCCAACAGCGACGTATCGCGAAAGGGAATCGGTAACTAAATAAAGGGCGTCGTTATCTAATTGACAGAAGACTTCAGTATTAATCGTTTCTTGTCCCAACGTAACCGCCGTTTGCCATTGAGAGTCACTGCAATCACTTTGGAGGATCGAAATTGACCAATTGTGCATTGCCAAGTCGGCGCAATGGGGTAACTTTAATACGACAGCCTTGTTTATTGTAATATTAGGGCCGCAAGAGACGACCGGGCTAAGTTGCGTAATATTTTCGGCAAGTTTTGGTCGAAAACAGTCTTCGTTCAGTATTGACAGAAATATGTCGTGCTTTCGCGTTCTTGAAACGGCGCCATCTGGGATTAGGAGACTGACGCAGCTTTCGGGTAGGTTCAGATAGGCGCCGATGTGCGTCACTGTGGCGCTCGTATAGTTTCCTGACGTCGCCGGGGTGACGGCGTAAGCTGCCGGTAACGCAGGAAGCGGTAGCGTTACAGATTCCGTCGCTACTTCGTAGGTTGAATCGGCTGAAACAGATTTCAGTTTGATATTAGAGATATTCGAAATAATTTACAGATTACTACTTAAAAGTGATGTGAAATTTAAATTTGAAGCGGGAAAATTAAAGGGCCTTGCGAATAACAAGAAATTACTACAGTTTTTAATTAGTTTACGCGAACTATTGATCCAACATAACAGATTGAAACGCATTCGTATTTAAGGTAATACACATTATTACATTGTAAACTTTAATTCGTTTAACAGTAAAATACCTTTGCAATCACAACTCATAAAATGTAATTGAAATCACATTTTCATTTTTCCGCTTTAAACTTTATTACTTTTGGCATGAAAGGGCTTAATTTCAATTCCAACCAAAGAATTGCATTTTATTCTTTCTCTGTATATAAACTGACTTCATTTCCAATTTCTAGTAGTTACAGTTGACCGTTTAATTTACAATACATATTTTGACATGTTTTGTACTTGACTTTTCTCAGCATGCCTTACAGAGAGGTTTGGTATCCATAAATGCAGGAACATCATATTTATTTCGTAGTTATATTTTTCATTATTTTTTTATGTACAATAAACTTAAGTGTTGTGTTATTAACATTATTTCTATATTAATGTTTATTATGATTGTAAACACCAGACATAATCAATTTATTCTATACGACTCTAATGTGAACATATATAAGGATATTAAAATATTAAAAATATTGTGAAAGGAGGAAATTAAAATTGTTATTATAACATGTTTTACAACATACAACTTTTAACAATTTCATGCTTCGACTATATAAAGCTAAGTGTAAAATTCATTCTCAATTAATTATCCAACACTTTTATTTTATTGTGACATTTATAAACTAATCTAAAAGCTACAATCATTTTGTAGGTCCCATAAAACAATTACGAGAGCTATTAGAGAACTTTTTTGGATTTACCTAGTTATTTTAGGTTCTTTGTGAGAAAAAATTCTGAATCTGTACATTTGCATGCTCTTCAATTTTCCTAAAATTCTAACTGAAAAGGAAGGGTTGATTTTTCTATAATCCTTTTTTCTCTTCTTGTATATGAAAAATGAAAGGTGGCGATATGCAGGGACGTGTGATTTTGCTGTCTACAAGAGCCTTAAATACAATTTTGCTTTTAAAATAATTAGAGAACCCAATATTTGAACATTAATTTCTCTAGAACATGCTGAAGATGTATATTCTATTGACTGTGATTATTACGGAAGAAAGAATCATGGCTGCGTGACTCATAAAAAAACAATCCAGGACTCTTTCTTAAGGATCTGGCGTCTCAAGGGGTTCCGCTTTTGAATCATGTTATTTCTGAATTATTCATGAGGGTCCGTTGGTGAAGACTGCAAGCTCATATTTGCAAATCAGTGCATCTAATACCATCGCGAATCTGGGGAATCACAAATTTCTTGTTCTTCAGATATACATATGTCTCTTCAAGACCATTGTAAGATGTGGTAATAGAAGCTACTTCAGTGGCGGATCCAGGAAAACTTTTCAAGGACTGCACATTCTGAACTTTTAACTTCGGTCGCAAAGATGCACCTCCCAATTACGGTTACGGAGAACAGCTTGTACGTAGTGCACATTTTTAGAAAGATAGAAAGTAGGGAATGTAATGGAAATACTGTAAATTACGTTGCCTAAACTTTTAAAAGGGTGCTTTTTACCTTTTCTCCAAGCCTTTTTGGGTGTGTCGGCTTTGCCCCCTGCTGAATCCACCACTGAGCTGAGCCCTTTTTCCAACGGTTCGAATTATATTAATTAGGAACTAAGTAAAGTAATTAAAAGTATTTTACCTTGGATACTTTACTTAAAAATTATACCCATCTGACCAAATGGAGGAATTAATACGTCAAATTCCCATTTTCTCCCAACGCCTATACTTACAGTTATTAGTGAGACCACTCAATTGGCTCCTTTTCCCACTCGACGACTCCAGCGTCGAACTTGTCGCTGGTGACATCTGTATATCACTCGCAGATGTTAAATGGGGTACATCGTAATGATGTTCTGATACAGAACGCGTAACTGAGGTAGCAGGGGTAGTATAGGGGTACTCGTAGCAAGGGGGCACTGTCTGCGTCAAATCTGGTTGCAGCGATAGGGATTTTTTGTCGTGCTCCGGAAAGAACTCTGGGTGGTATTCTGAAAACGAGAAAAAAACAGCAATTAGTATTCCACGTTTATCGGTATAATTCGGTTGAGTAATGTTCACCGACAATTAATAAACGGAAGGAGTGCGCGCATAGTGAAAAAGCTATCCCAACATCTGCTAATATAAGGAGTCATTAGGGCTCAAATTAAGCATTTAAATAATTTCACATACAGAAATAAATGAGCCGCGATATAAATAATAATGTAAATGACAAATGCGTGTATGCGAGCTACAATTTTTCGAATTTACCTAATTATAAGGTTATGATTAATAAACGTTGCCCAATTAAAATTATTCTTGAGGTTTACGAATCTCCAAATGGAAAACATATGGCTCACCACGAATTGGACATTAAAGCGAGCGACTGATGGCATTACTAAAATGTTTCAGATTTTATTCGAATCATATATCATACCTTCGTACAACACTAATTGGGGCAAACTATTAATATTTGGTCCTTTCCATTAGTTCGGCGATTAATAATAGGTTTCAGTTCCGCATTGGGCAGGAAACTGTAAGTCACGCGAAAAAAAATTCGAAATTATTTTAATTGGCATTTCACTAGACTGCGCTGAAAGGAAAGCCCTACTACAATTCATCTTTGCTCTTGTCAGCTTCAATCTTTCTGCAATCAATCTATATCAATCAAATCATTTTAGGCAAACAAAAAGGTTGAAATCTGAGTTGTTTTCCTAATTTGTGCGCGGTTACGGAAATGACACCGAACAATTTTAAAGCATATACAGACTATTATTGATGGATGTTGCTTCTAAGCATATTTATCTACATCGTGAAGAATGTGGAGAAAATGTAAGCAAAGGTTCTCCTTGTCACTTACTAAGTACATATTGTTTCTTGGTTAGAGGGTAACTATCGCAACATTGTACAACGGTCATTTTATTTTTGGGATGAAATCCGTTTTCTCCACTCCCTGGGTCTAAAACAATCGGCCTTGTTCTCACATCTTGAATTTTTGAACAATTCCACTTGCTTCACAAGTCGAGAGCACCTGAATGGTAGGCAGAGCTGAGTAGAATACTTTCAAAAAGTATTTGAATACTAAATAGTAAATACTTTACACAAATCAAAGGTATTTGAATACTAAATACTTTTACGTCCAGCACAAGCGAATACTAGATACAGATACATTGAAAAGTATTCAAATACTTAAAAAAATAAGTATTCAAATACTTTAGAATGCATTCGAATACTTTCAAAAGTATTCGAATACTTTCAAAGGTATTCGAATACTTTCAAAAGTATTCTAATACTATCAAAGGTATTCGAATACTATAAAAAGTATTCGAATACTTTGAAAAGTATTCGAATACAGTAAAAAGTATTGAAATACTTGTCACTCAAATACATTAAAAATTTAAAATAGTATACTAGATAAAAGGCTTAATACTACTTAAAAAATTAAGTTATACTTTGTATGGGGTTAGCTTTTTTTATATTTCTATTGTTATGTACAAATTTAAGGGGAGTAAAAGCGTATTATTATATTATTATATAGGAGGTACCTACCAGGATCTTTCTTATACCAGTTATATCCTTAAGAATACGTGTACCAGTTTTCAAAGCGATCGTACGTCGTGCACATGATACGTACGCCTTTCTGAAATTAATCTTAGCGATTTTGGAACAGATCCATTTTTGACCATCCGTTTGTCCGTGTGCATGATAACTTGTTTAGAAACGTGCGATCGCTTTGAAAATTGGTACACATGGTCTTAAGGATATAAGAAAGGTCCCTATTGTTTTTAAGTTACGTAGACTATCGAGTTCGGTATTCAGATGTATCGGATTTTTATATTTGATTTTGTGACAATGGAAACTTTCCCTAAACATTTCTAAGTTGTTCTCAAATATTTGAATAACTTAAAAGTACTGCCTTTTTTTGAGGCCGGAAAAGAAATTGTCTGAGATCGACCGGGAAAAAACCATTTTCTTATAGAATTTGGCCCGTAGAATCCATAATTTCAAACAGTTTGAAGATTGGGCTACTAGAACAAAAGTTACAGCCCTTAGAATTTTTTTTCGAAATTAGGTTTTTGTCCATAACCTTTTATTGAGAGGTCTAATCGAAAACGTACGAATTGTTTTGGGTTCTTCTCACCAAAATTAATAAGAAAAAGTGTTTTTCCGAGAAATTTGGGTGTTGTCGATTTTTGGTAAAAAGGAAGGTTATACACTGCCCTTTTTTGAGGCCCGAATAAAAAATTGTCTCAGATCGACCCGGAGAAAAATTTTCTTATAGAATGGGGCCTGTAGATTCCATAATTTCAAACAGTTCCAAGATTGGGCTACTAGTTCAAAAGTTACAACCCTTTGAATTTTTTTTCGAAATTTGTTTATAGTCTATAACTTTTGATTGAGAAGTCTGATCGAAAAAGTACGAATTGTTTTGGGTTCTACGCACCAAAATTAATAAGAAAAAGTGTTTTCCCGAGAAATTTTGGTACAGTCGATTTTTGGTAAAAAAGGAAGGTTATACACTGCCCTTTTTTGAGGCGCGAATAAAAAATTATCTCAGATCGACCCGGAAAAAATTTTCTTATAGAATGGGGCCTGTAGATTCCATAATTTCAAACAGTTCCAAGATTTGGCTACTAGTTCAAAATTTACAGCCCTTTGAATTTTCTTTCGAATTGGTTTCTAATCTATAACTTTTGATTGAGAAGTCTGTTCGAAAAAGTACGAATTGTTTTGGATTCTACGCACCAAAATTAATAAGAAAAAGTGTTTTCCCGAGAAATTTTGGTGCAGTGGATTTTTGGTAAAAAAGGAAGGTTATACACTGCCTTTTTTTGAGCCCCGAAAAAAAAATTGTCTCAGATCGACCCGGAAAAAATTTTCTTATAGAATGTGGCCTGTAGAATCCATAATTTCAAACAGTTCCAAGATTGGGCTACTAGTTCAAAAGTTACAGCCCTTTGAAATTTCTTTCGAAATTGGTTTCTAGTCTATAACTTTTGATTGAGAAGTCTGATCGAAAAAGTACGAATTGTTTTGGATTCTACGCACCAAAATTAATAAGAAAAAGTCTTTTCCCGAGAAATTTTGGTGCAGTCGATTTTTGGTAAAAAAGGAAGGGTAAGTATTCAAATACCTTGCGAAGTATTCGAATACTAAATATTTGTGAAAGTATTTGAGTTACAAATACCCTCTTAGATAAGAATTTCTTTGTAAATATTATCTAATAAAGTATAAATAAATAAATAAATAAATAAATAAAATACTGCTTCCATAAAAGTATTTAATTACCAAGTATTTGTATACTTTAAAGGATTTGAATACTAAAAAGTATTTACAAAATCGAATACTGCCCAGCTCTGATGGTAGGTCTCAGTTCTCAGGGAAAAATGTAAACATGCAATGCGTACATTTTAGGTGCTTAGAGCAAGCTTTGAGTGATAATTAGCTAAAGTGGAATCGACAAGTTTCGGCTACGTAGCGATATTTTACAAAATTCCTTTTTTGAGATATTACAATGAACTGCGTCACGTACATAATACTACGTTAATCCATCACAATAAATGAGTACATGGCCCTTTAACTATGGCAAAGTATTAAAATAATGAAAAATCAAAGTACTGTAGTAAACGCACCCGGAGTCATAAGCTCTAAAATGAAAACACGTTTCGTAAATCCTCGATTTTGCATTGAAACAGGATTGTAATTCCAGAGGGTTTAAAATCAAATCTGACACTCGGCTTTTAAGTGTCTTAGGTAACACTAGAATTCGTGCTCGCCGGAAATGAAATATTTTGAATTCTGACGAATCGATAATCGTCATTTCGGAAATTACCTTAAAATGGGATCATTTTTAGTTTGTGACTTACCTCGTTTTCTCGTTTAAGAAGGATAATTGGAATAAAAACAGAACAGTTGGTCAATTTCTCTATACAATCCAGTTTTGCTCATTTGTGCTTCTATGGATATTCGCTTAGTTATAATGTCACATAATACACTAACTCAAAGCCCTTTCCAACAGTTTTTCGTATTTCCAATTTATTCGAACATAATTTTGGTACTGTCTCTCCTATATCGTATAAGGTAATTAGTTTTTGTTACCTACTCATTGATTTCCTTTCTCTTGCACATCTTTACTACGAAATAGCCCTTCTTATCTACTGAGTGCTTACTTTTGAATCTATAGCAAATGTATACGTTTTCACTAATTGATAGTTGCGAAGGCCTATATCATTTGCCCTAACGCTATACGTGATTTTCAATTGGAAATACGAAATTATCGTTCAGTACACTGTTAACCCTAAATTTTCCAACTTTCGTTTTCACCTCGGTTTTCACAGTAAAACTACATGATATTTTCAGTTCACACCGTACCCCATGAAACCAATGTATTTATTTTGTAGAATACAGTAGATCAAATTAGTTGGCACCGGATAGTTTTGATCATTAGAACTATTGAAACTGTCTTATTTTAAAGTGTTAAAAAGCATTTTAATGAAAATGGAATACAAAGGTTATATTTAGAAAGGAGCATGTGTTCGTATAAACGTACTATATAAAGAAATTTTTCAACATGTGAATCGTCTTCTCCTTTAGCTGTAATACGCCATAAAATCATCTTGTAAAGTTAAGACACATCATTAATCTTCAACATGTCTAAAATGTAACGTAAGAGTCATTTAAAAGCGCACGACCCTAAATTTAAATTATTTTCAAACCGTTTTTTAGAGAAAAAAATTATTTTCGTTGCTTACGCGCCCAATAGTGCTACTTTGGCTTTGAGGGTTGTAAATAACTGTTGTCAGGTTGATGTGATGAATTACTACCGCGAAGTGCATTTATCATTGCCGAAATTGATGACATTTCTGTTTGCTAATTGTGCAGTGATATTTATGAAGAAATTAGCAAATTGTTAAGCGCGAGCTTCTGGTAATGGGGATCGAATTATTTATGAGGTTTCTTATAAATGCACTTTCCTCTTGGCGCTTTGATATTTCCAGGGAAAAATGATTATTAAACAAACAGAATTGGCGTGTAAAAAATTTATCGGTGTTGTGTACTTACCGTTAGCTGCCATATTATACAAGGATTGATGATGTCCCTTTTTACGATAAAATCTCACAAGAAAGAAGGATAACAAAGTCACAAGAAATATTGCAACCGTAAGTCCGATGTAAAGGGCTAAATCTGCTTGTGTATCGGCCAGATTTGCTGTAACAAAGAAAAAAGGTATTACCAAACGTGCAAAGCCGTTTTTTAAGTAAAGGCGTTTAACATGCCCTATAACAGATGTAACAGCTGAGATTAACCCCTTTATAGTTTTGCAACTAAATCGAGATTATTGTAACCGCGTTTGTAATTACCATTCTTGTCCCTTTTGGTGTTCCAAAGTGTGAGCCACAAGGGGCCGCCGACTTGCACCATTAAGACAAGAATCATAATTAAGGAGTACTAATATTAGCCCTTTAACTAGAAATCCCTACGACCCCCATCTATAAGAAGCAAGCGGTCAACCGGAAATAATAAAGACGTCAGGTTGTTCGGAGCTGCTTAAGGGAAAAAAAATTGTAAACAGATTTTAGATTTCCCGAAGTTCGCTCGAAAATTCAATTGGGATATTTATGTGTAAATACAAGGCAGGAAATTTAAACCCTCAGGCTAGTTTTTAGCGAGTCCTTTTTACGCGAACGTGATTTTGCGTTATAAGGGTTCCTTTTAAAGTTGATTATTTGGATTTCTAATGCGTGCGGGTTCATTAGAAATTTCTGAACCAATAATGAAGATTGAGACGTAAAAAATTGTACCGGAATCAACGACAAATGCGGAAATTGTAGCCGGCCACTTTGTTCGCAAATCTTTTGAAAGGTTTAATATATTACATTTACATTTGCATATTTTGCATATTACTTTACAATAAATATGCCAGCTTTACTGTTCAGTCTTTTAATGTTTTTCGTGTTGTATTGAAAATAGCTTTCTTTCGCTGGTCCACATCACAAAATTTGTTTTCAGCAATATTAATTTGTTGAAACTCGGTACACGACTGGTTGATGAAAAGTATATGGCTATGCATTTTATTGTATTTGTTTTTTTTAAAATTTGTGTATACTGTATACTGACCCCCATGAGGACGGTCTCCAATACCAAATTACAGTTTATGTTAATTTACCTTGATTGGCAACATTTGAGGATTTAAAAATAGTGCATATTGCGATGCTGAAAGGAAGTTTCTGACCTGAAGTTTGGAAGGGTTTAAATTCCAGCTAATTTTTAAAATTAGAGGGCTTTATAAGGTATAATGAATAGAACCTACAACAGACGCATCATATTATACATGTCTATGGTTACCGAGGTCGATCTTGTATAAATTTATCTGTAGTGTCGACTTCCACTGCACTTTAAAGCTCTCAAGTTTCGCTTTCTGGCTTCAAATTAAATGGAGGAAATGTTTGTTGCACGCTTTTCCAAGTAACTTATGTTCAGGCATCATTTTTAATCGCTCCGATGCGGAAACAAAGCCCCATCTAATTAAAAACAAGCCTCAATATTTGACCCCATACGATTTAAGGATAGTTGAATATTTTCTGTTGCTTGACGTGTCCGTATTTAAATAACAAAAGGGAATGATTGAAGGGGGATGATAAACTCCATTTGCATTTAAATATATCGATGGATTTTCCATTTTGGAGGCTCTTCATTAATGAGAAACAACATTTTTAATTAAATTAAGACACAAAAACGGGCGTCAAAGAAACAATCGTAAATTTCATCCATAAATTTTAGAAAAGGTGCGTAACGAAGGCGTCAGATGATAAAAAGGACGTAGAAAAGGGATAATAAGTGGAAGCCCAAAGCGTTTTCGCAATCCACAGATGGTAACCGGCTTGTTTCGTGAATGTGTCGCTTTTACCTAATGTCCAATAATGCCGTATACGCGTTGTTACGTATTCATCCAATGTTTTACCCCTAAAATTTTGTCATTTATCCGAAAGGTCACGTAATCAACATTTCCGAAATTTTGTATTCAATTCCAATAGCATCGAAATTTCTTTTAAAATCATTTATTGTTTGTACTAATTTTCAATGTACAAATCATTCCGCTTTGACAAGCTTTTCCTTTTGATTGCATTCTTTTTAATCAAGAAAACATCTTAAGTGCTCTTAAAGTATCCAGACAACATTAAAATTTATGTTGAGAGATATAAAAAATTTTATGTATCCTGTTCGATTAGTTTCTTAGTTTCATAAAACGCTTTTACTGGTTAAGCCGTAATTAAGTACAAAGTTTTCTAATGCGCCCGAGATGAGGCGGAATTCACGAAAATGATTAATTAATATATGATGGGGATGCGTACACTCTATATATAACGTATGCATTTGCGAAATTTCGTTAGCAGCTTACATTCAATTGGAAATTCCCCTTCAAAGGGTTTGGAATATCGGACAAATTACAGAGATGACCGAGGAAAATTAAACTGGACCGCTATTGGGATGGACATTGCATTTTTCGTGAAACGAGTGAGTGCCGTAGACGTTAGAAGGGTTTCGGTGATGCATGGCACTATTCATTCCAAACCGCTTTGGGGTCTTATACGTGCATGTTACACTTCAAATACACTTAGCTTTTAAAATATATTATTTATCTTAACGAATGCCATTCAAAGATTAATGAAAATTGATACGAATTAATAAGTACAACGACTTTAATAACGACAACGTACTTGGTCGATAGAAAATTAATAATTGTGGCGCCAAGATTCTTCCTTTCGGTATTGCATATTATGCATGTTGTAGGAACGATTTTCTGGTTTTACCTACGTACGTCGAATATTGGCAATCATTTAAAGTAGTTACCTCGACGTAATTTTCTAGGTACGAGCTAAGTAATGAGAAAAACCACTCTAACCGCATGCACCGATACGTAGGCGGTTCGTGAATTGTGGTAATAAGCCCTTACTACGAAATTATACCTTTTATAATTTGTAAACGTTTTTTTTATTATTGACACTTTAAATTGCATCTTCACAACTAATTGACGTGACGAAGGTAACCAAATGAAAATGTTTGCAAATGAATAGTTTGGTTAATTGTGAGTTATAAAAAGACTGAGTGATGAAAAATGACGCTTTTTAAACGTCATAATTAGACATCATTTTGCAGATGCTTTTCGTCGGAGTTTCTCACAATAAGACCAACTGTTGTACGACACGGTTATGAAATATCATGTTTAATTTGAGTTTAAATTTGATATTCATATTTTAGAACGTAAATAGGATATGAAAGTACAGAGTTGCAGTATAACAAATTCTATTCTAGAGAATGATCTGTTGCAAACATAGACTTGCGATACTAACTCATCGTTTACCTTTGTAAAAGATCTGGTTTCGGATTAAAATTGCTTCATACTTCATATTATACTAGAAAATATCGGCCTGCAACAACTCAATCCTTTATTTTTTATAAATATCGATTTTTGACTTATTCTTTTGATATATCCATGGGAACGTGAAAATTTCTTCGTCTATGAGTTCTAGAGGCAAAAATCTATTACATATTGCCATTTCCGGTTGGTCTGCAACCACTATCTTTCCGGTAGACTTTCGTAAGGGCGTTTTTGTAAAAATAATCTTTAGATTCATAGATTCTACAGGTTAAAATCTACTAGAAAGTGTTCCAGTCAATTTTGGAACTTTTTTGGTAGATTTTCGGTAAAAATGGATTTCTGGGTTAAAACTTCAATTGTGCTGTTTGATCGTGAGCTTTGTGTCGTATTAGGTACCTATAATAAAAAGGAAAACATTAGTATTGGATTAAATTGTTTTATTTTATAGCAGACGTTAATTAACATTTTAATAGGTATGAATTAGTATCATATATAAATTAGTTCATTTTCAGTTGTATTTCTCATTATTTTATCAAAAATTCGGCAATAAATTCCATTAGAAAAATCATGTTAGCCATGGAAATTTTCTACAGAATTGAAAGAGCTTTTGACACAGACGAAATGCTCATTAAAATGCA